AATGTGCCACATGCCATGTATACATGCATACATATGAAGTATGTATGTCAACAAATAGACAGCTCGATATGTGTTGCGAGTGTGTGCCTGCGTCGGTAAATTGCTTATTTGCAACTTTTGGAAAGTACTATTTGTTAGCACACATATATACAACTATACTCACACACACACACACACACCCACACGCCCACGCAGTCAAACACTTACACACTCTTGCAGCCTCGCACTACTTCCGGTCTTCCGGCCTACTTTTCGATTGTTTGGCCGAGAAAAAAAAAGAAACAAAAAGCAGAAAGCAGCAAGCGTAAGTCAAGCATTATTTGTTGGCAATATTGAAGGATTTTCACAAGGTCGCATGCAAAATTGATGAAGTGGCATATGTGACGGTGGGTGCAGCAGGCAACACAGCAAGCGCCCCAACATTCATTGCCTGCCTATTGTGTAATATGCATATATATGTATATGTATATATGCACTTGTATGAACATAAATTGTATACATTTACGATTTACATGATCGAGTGGCAGGCGTGTAAGTAAACAACAAAAATAACAATAATATTTTTCACCAAGAGCTAGGCATTACAAGCACACAGAGAGGGTGTGCAGAGAGTGGGGAAGGGTATAGAGGGTTAGCAAATATATTGAAATTTTCCATTCTAGTCACCTTCTAGTGGCATCCGCGCATACGTCTATACATATATAAAAGTGTATGTATGTATTTATGCAGTGCGTGCCAGGAAGTCCATTGACTGCAATTGCATTCCATTTCATGGCTCTTCATAAATACGCCACATCAGCCAAAGCTTTTCACTATTGGAAACCGTTTATTACTTTAAGTGAATTTCCTTTGATTTCCCGTTTGTCATTATGGAAGGTCAGTTGAATGATTGACAGTTGGTTGGATGCATGTCGCATGCCGCAAGGACATCGCCAAAGGATCTACCATTCAGTTGTAATAATTTGGTGAGAGACGGAAACAGCCGAAATATATAAGAACAATTTGCTCATGAAGAGAAATCGATTTCCTTGAGTTCCCACTGGAACACCACAGCAAGGCCAAAATGAAGTTGGAGTACTTCCGCGAACCGATCCAAGTGAAACATGAAGTCACGGCTAAAATCGTGCTCCGTTATTTGAACCCCAGGGTGGGCGAAGAAAGTGTCTTTGAGGCAATGTTCGGAAAAATCAGCATCCCAAGGCATCTGTTAACATACTGAGGCTGAGCGACTTCACCGGTGCCCGCAAATGGCTGTTTGTATTACTGAATTCCAGTACAAGGAAACAAGCAAGCGTTGGGAAATATTGTGGGAGTAACAGTCCTTGACCGGATAAAAATCCGGGTCGTTCCGGTATAAAGACCCGACTGTCGCGGGAACTATAGTGACTTAGTATTCACTAGCTCTTGTATGCTCCGAAGACTTAGCATCTACTCAGATAACATCGAAGGGCTACAGTCGTCCAATCGACTTGTATTCCTGCTCTTCATGAGCACTCATAAACAACTCATCCTAAGGAGGCTATGAGATGGGACTTTAAGCTCCATACGAGAGCTAAAAATGAGATCACTTGTCTTCGAGAGGGTAAAAAAATTAGCTCTTATGGTGAGGACTGTCATGTCGTAGTGGAAAAAAACAAACTGGGCCACCGCGCAATGTTGCGAAGAGTTGTGAAACGAAGTCAGATACATTTGCGAACTGAAAGAGTAAGTCCGAAGAAGCCTGAGAAAAGATAGACAGTTTTTAAGAAAAAAAAAAATAGTGTGACTTTCAGAAGGTTTCACGATCACCGGGGTATACCAACGACTGATGCTCAAAGTATACTAAATTTATGGATGAAACACTTCCCAGCGTTACCCACCTCCCGCCCAACCGAATGAGGGATAATTGAAAAATCCAACACACCGGTGAGTGAAAACCAGTAAAAGTGCGGATCGCGGATGGTTGCAGTTAAACTTGACTCTCAAATATTATTTGTAACCGCTGAAGCGATTTTCCGTCGAAATCCTCCTCTAATTTGTTGTTTTGCGTCTCGATATTTTTCCGACAAATGGAGCGACCTACAGTTTATACTAAGCCGCTTCCGAACGCCTGATGGTTTTTTTATGAGGAGCCTTTATTTCCTGTCCGAAATACACTCGGAGGGGTTGACATTCCCTGCCAAGAGGCAACCGCAATTAGAAAAATTAACTTAATTTTTTATTTAAATTATTTCTCAATGACTCTGGACAGCTGGTCGTACTAGGACTTGAATTCTGGTCTTCCGATTGGCAGTGCTCGGCTACCGCGGCCTCTCTGCTAAAGTAAAAAGAACGACACATAGATGTCGATCAAGTCTAACGCTGGTAGAAGCAGAGGAAGTTGAAGATTTTTTTTTTTCAAATATGGAAACTTTTGTGCAATTTTGGTTCTTACTTACCACATATACTCGTAGTGTCCATGTGGATATTTTTTAAATGTTACAAAATTCCAACGCTTCAAAATAATATATAATTAATATTTTTTTTTTTAATTTTTTTTCTTTATTGTTTTTTTCTTCGTCATATTCAGTACTAAAATTATGCTTACGCGTGTAATCAATTACGAAAATCTATTTAAAAATTATTTTATTGAATAAAAGCTTATTAAAATTGTTTCTAATTCTAAAAGACAGAAAAAAAAGGTTCGTTCGTTTAAGATTTCAGTTTCGTACCTAAAGCGCGAACTTTTCTGTTTCTGTTTTGTTTTCCTTTCTGTTGCGTTTACAATGCAATTTTTCATACGATTTATTAATGCTTTTTAACAAGTATTTGCAAGTATGCACATATATATATATACATATATAAATCCATACATACTTTTTATTGTATTTTATTTTATTTTTTATTTTTTGCCTCACTTACTAACAAATATCACATAAATACATAGTGTGTAATCGTTTTAAAATAAATTATATATGCAATATTATTATTTATTTATGCACACCATATAAATGTTATTAGTATGTTTTACTTAATTTTCTTATACGAATAATTAGGATTAAAATAAAATTTGAGTTCGGCAAAGCAAAAGGGCAATTGCTATTTGCATCCAATTTAAAACGAAAAAAAAAAATTAATAATGATTTGAAAATAAGCTATGAGTGTACAAAAACACATATACACTTGTATATATTCATGTATATATATATATATAATCTAAATTAATACTATAGGTATATAATGATATTAATAATTCAATATGTATGTATTTAGCGCAGTTTAATTTCAACAGATTTTATATATTTATATTTTATATTTCCTTTTAAATTGGATTAAATGTAGTTTAATCTCTCTTATTGATCAAAAAGGTCGTAAGCGATAAACCAAAAATCATAAATTTTGCAAATAAATTTTTGTATTGCCTTTGCACGTGTGTTATGTGTATTCCATTTTACAACACTACATAGAAATGCTTTAATAAAGCATTTATTCGTTTTAAATTAGCAAAAAATTAAAGTAAATTTTTTAAACTTATTTTTGCATAAGTGTAAATTAGAAAATTATTACAAAATATTTTAAAACAAATTTCAATACTTTTATATAATATATTTTATATTATATATTTATTCTTTTAATTTCTTCATTTTCTTCAGTGATTTGATGAACATATTTTTGCAAAATTTATAAGTAAGCATGGTTTAATGCATTTTTTATGACAAAATTAATTTTTATAAAGTAAAAATTAAATTTCTTTTTTTTTTATCAAAATCATAATTGAGATCCTTCTCTTTAATATATGAAAATGTAAAGGGATTTTGAGAAAATATGAAATGATAATGTCTATAATGATTTAACAAAAAAGCCCTCGACGTTGAAACGTATTGAAGATAGGCTAGGGTATTGTTGTTTTACATGTACAAATTGATATTGAGCAATTTTCCAGAAAATTATATTTTGTTTTCAATTTTTAAAACAAGAGTTATAAAGTAAGAAATAAAATAATATAAAATTAATAAAATAAAATAAAATAAAATAAAATAAAATAAAATAAAATAAATATTTTATTTTATTTTATTTTATTTTATTTTATTTTATTTTTAAAGTAATATAAAATAGAATATTTAAAAATAAAATGAACTAAAATAAAAAGATTAATAAAAAATAATAACTAAAACAAAATTAAAGTGAAACAAAATAAAATAAACTAAAAAACTATTAATAACAAATAATAATTAAAATAAAATTGAAGGACTCTAAGAGATCTGTTTTTGTTTGAGGCAGTGACGACAAGAAACAGTATTAGGCATTATTCCTTAACCCGCTGAAGGTGTTACAATAAAGATTTGGTTATTAGTTGACTAACGAACCTTTTACGATTCCTACAAACAAATTCGAAAAGAGTCCTGAGGCTAACAGGTTGTTATAATTTCAGATGAATCTGTGACATTCACTTTCTATACACTTGCAGAAGAAATTACACCTTTACCCCGCCAGAATTGGTGCATTAAAATCCTCTAACTAAGAGTAAACCAAAAGTGTTCTGGTTAAACCCTTATGTGGGTTCTTTTAGAAGGGAACTGAAAGAATGCTTCAAGACTGCAAGGATAGCGGAATTAAAGTTATATAAAAAGGACAGAGTTTTTCGCAGGGTCAAAGATAATAAAGAATAAAAAAATGCTGACCAGAGGTGGACGGAGGACTACGGACTGTCTATTGGTAAGTAATGAAATAAGTTTACATAACCAGCAGAGAGGAAACATAGAGGGTGCACCAGAAATTCTTGCCAGAAATCGGGTCTTAGCAGATGGTGATATAAAGTGAATTAGTCCTATCGAGAAGAAGGAAAAAGATTCCAGTTTTTTACTAGCAACAAAATGGTTTGACTCTATGCTGCTGGCGTCACATGCCTTCAAATTGCGATGGGAAAACAAAAAGGAAGAAAAAAAGTATCAAATTTTAAATAAAATATTAAGAAAATTTCTGTATTAATCATTTTGAATTTTTTTCGAAGTCAACAAATTTTTTTTTTTTTGCACAAATTATTGAAGGGTCTAAGTTTATTTTATACATCGAAATTGAATTTTTAATATATTTTCTTTTTTGACGGAATACTCGCCCGAGTATCAATTTTCGAAATTATGGAGATGACAATGATCATGAAAATCGAAAAAAATTATTTCAGTAGTTTTTATTAACTATTTTCCAAAAAAAACAGATGAAAACATTTTTACTTTCCAAAAAATTGCTCAACTTGAATTAGCATTAGGAAATGATTGGGTTTTAATGTGTGCGAGTGATTTTCTTCGCACTGCCAGGGGTCTGTGTATATATTTCTAAAGCAAAAAAAAAGAAACAAAAAATGTTCCAACTCAAAAAAAGCAAAAATTATTGATTTCTTTAAAGTCTCAAATTTACTTTTCTATGCTTCCATCAATCCTTTATATATACTATTCTATTACGTTTCCTCTCGCTTCTCTTTCCAGGACCTTTCGCTGTAATACAGTTTCTGCCTGTCTCTCTCACCCGCGCATTTACCGTTACACTTACTATGTATGTATATTTATCTCTTTCTAAACATAAGCATTTGTTTGTTTAATATTACACGACATCTTATTGAAATTATCATCGGTGTGCGAGACTGGCCGATAGGAGCGCTGCTTCAAACGCAATTGGATAATCCAAGCTATCAGCACCGCAATGAAAGCGACTAAAATGCCAATTACGATATAAATCAACCAATGTTTGCACGATTCCGAGACGACTCTTATTTCTGGCATGACATCCGCAGCAGCAGCAGCAGCAGCATCAGTCTCATCATCATAATCGTTGCCATCATCGGGCTGTAGTGGGAAAGAGGCGGCGTGACCTTTGCGACGTGAAGCCGCAATAGGTGGGCAAGCGGTGGCTATAGCAGGCTCACTAGCAAGCGCAATATTGGCGGCCTGAGGAGCTGCCGTGGTGGGTGCGGACGATATTGGCAAGTATTCGGCTGGCGCATCAGGCGTTGACGTGGCGGACTGTACAAAGGGGCTAGCCGTGGTTGTTGAATTTGCAAGAGCATCGATTTGCGCTCCACTGCTGCTATTGCTGGTGCTGCCTGCGGCGGTGTTGTTGAGTGGTGTGGCACTTGTAACATTTATGGTAGTCGGTCCTTCTACTGTGCTATTCAGTTGCCTCTCGTCATCGGCCAATTTTGTGTTCGGCAATATGTCAATCGCATTCTCCGCTATATAATCTCCATCGTGCGACGCACTATTCGGTACCTCAAGAAAATCATCATCCTCCTCATCATAATGACGTGAGCCGCTGCCGTACTTATTGTGTTGCATGCCGCTGCGGCTGTTGAGCAGCTCATTGGGCATGGGCGCACAGTCGGGCCAACAGATGGGGCAGCAGCCATCCTTCAGCGTCACTTGCCGTTCACGCGGACAATCGATATTACTGCAAAATGGCAAAACACACTTCTCCACGCCATCAACACACTCGCACTCATAGCAGCCGACGCGCCAACTCTCCCCGTGTTCGAAGAGGAAATTTAATTTTTCTGGTTTACAAATTGCCTTGGTTTTGTTGACCGCTTCGTCGCAGACTTGTATGCACATGGGTTTGCCCGCAAAGCAATGACAGCGCTGGCAACCCTTCAGCCAATACAGTTGGCTGTCATCTTCAGTAGCGCAATTCGGTTTGCGTTGACATTCATATTCACCGCAACACTGGCCGGGCTTGTTCATTGACTCGGGCATTAGCTCAACGACTACTTCATCCTCGCCGTGACAGTCTGGTATGTAGCAGGTTTTGCAGACACATTTCTTGGACAGGCAACACTCGGCGTAGATGTCTTCATCGATCTCAGTGGTGTTGTAAGCCGTTTCATCGGTGAGTTGCGAGGGTGCTACTGTGGTTTGTTGTACTTCTATGGTATTCAGCATCTCACGCACACTGCTGTCTGCTGGACAGGTCATTTCGGACATGGGCGGACATTTCACGTTGTAGCAGAGGTGCGGTAGGGGCTCGGCTGTGGAGGAAGATATAAAGAAATTATGGAATATATTAAATTTTTAAATATTAGGCGTAAAACGATCGATTTTTTTCAAAAGGAAAAACTAAAATAAAGAGCTAATATATATATATATAATATATATAAAAATAAAACAAAAAAAAAATAATAATAAAATAAAATAAAATAAAATAACATGAAAAAAAAATAAAAAAAATAAAATAAAATAAAATAAAATAAAATAAAATAAAATAAAATAAAATAAAATAAAATAAAATAAAATAAAATAAAATAAAATAAAATAAAATAAAATAAAATAAAATAAAATAAAATAAAATAAAATAAAATAAAATAAAATAAAATAAAATAAAATAAAATAAAATAAAATAAAATAAAATAAAATAAAATAAAATAAAATAAAATAAAATAAAATAAAATAAAATAAAATAAAATAAAATAAAATAAAATAAAATAAAATAAAATAAAATAAAATAAAATAAAATAAAATAAAATAAAATAAAATAAAATAAAATAAAATAAAATAAAATAAAATAAAATAAAATAAAATAAAATAAAATAAAATAAAATAAAATAAAATAAAATAAAATAAAATAAAATAAAATAAAATAAAATAAAATAAAATAAAATAAAATAAAATAAAATAAAATAAAATAAAATAAAATAAAATAAAATAAAATAAAATAAAATAAAATAAAATAAAATAAAATAAAATAAAATAAAATAAAATAAAATAAAATAAAATAAAATAAAATAAAATAAAATAAAATAAAATAAAATAAAATAAAATAAAATAAAATAAAATAAAATAAAATAAAATAAAATAAAATAAAATAAAATAAAATAAAATAAAATAAAATAAAATAAAATAAAATAAAATAAAATAAAATAAAATAAAATAAAATAAAATAAAATAAAATAAAATAAAATAAAATAAAATAAAATAAAATAAAATAAAATAAAATAAAATAAAATAAAATAAAATAAAATAAAATAAAATAAAATAAAATAAAATAAAATAAAATAAAATAAAATAAAATAAAATAAAATAAAATAAAATAAAATAAAATAAAATAAAATAAAATAAAATAAAATAAAATAAAATAAAATAAAATAAAATAAAATAAAATAAAATAAAATAAAATAAAATAAAATAAAATAAAATAAAATAAAATAAAATAAAATAAAATAAAATAAAATAAAATAAAATAAAATAAAATAAAATAAAATAAAATAAAATAAAATAAAATAAAATAAAATAAAATAAAATAAAATAAAATAAAATAAANAAAATAAAATAAAAGATAAAAAAAAAAATAAAATAAAATAAACAAAATGTTTTATATTTTTTTTGCTCTCTCTTATGTAAGATACACTCATCACTCTGTCTAAACTACAGTGCGAGCCAAAGGAAACCTCGAACGTCAAAGATTACTAATTGACTGCACGTGCTTAACCGATCTCATTATAAGCGGTAAAATATACAAAAAGTTGAAGAGAAAATAAGCAACAAAGTAGATAGCAGATAAGAAGGTGACAGTTCCATATCGGACGAAGCAGAAGCCTACATATCAACGAGAGTTTGATAAAATTGTTGCAGACGATGCAAAGAGCATGCAGAGACTTGTGCATAAAATGCGACAGGTTGGGCGATGCCAGACAAAATATGTAAATAGAGCGAAAAATTTAGAGCAACGAAGCGATTACGAGTATTACTATGTATATGCGACTACGTATATATTATACTCGTATGTAAGTAAACTAACTGGCTAGCTACTAGCAAGCAGATAAACGAGGCGCGACATTAACTAAATGAGCGCAGGCGATGAAGGCGTTCGCAGACGAAGGTGAGAAATAGCAAAAGGTAAACTAAGTGAAGTGAATTTCGTGGGCTTAGCCAGCCAGTCTGTGGCGAAACTTTGCAATTCATGAGCATGAGCATGAGCATGAGCATGAGCATAAGTATGAGTTTCAACGTGAGCGTAAAAGGGCGCTTATACTCGTACATATTAAATGAAAAGTAGGCGTCGCAGCGGCGTGTGACACTTGGCGAGTGCGCGCTGAAAACACGACAGAAAGGTATTTTATTGCCATACACTCGACTGATTATGTTAATCGTGTCGAAATTTACGCAATGTACCTGGTGAATGTCAAGCAATTTGTCGCTGTTAATGGCTGTTGGCTGGCTCCTTCAGGCAGAGACACAGAGAGAGAACAATAGAACGGATGAGGAAGTAAAAAAATAAAAAAAAAAAATAAACCAACGACGCAACGAACCAAGTGACATTTTGTTGAAAGCGTCGGAGTTGAGTAACAGCAAAAAGAATGTAAAGACTACATAAATAATAAAAGTAATAAAAAGAAAAAAATGGTTAAGTGCGCTGGTAAGTAAATGGCAATAAGAAGACAAAAAAAAAGGCGAAAAAAATGAAGTAACAACTTTGAGCAGTTCTACGGCAGCTTAGTACTTGTGTGAACACGTGTAAGCTTTGTATAAAATGTGTTAATAAATCTAAATTGAAAATGAAGGCGGCAATGTTGGCACAAGCACAGTTTGAGTAAAAGGAAATTACTTTCACTTCCACTTTTGACTAATTGCTACACATTACGGGCGCGTAACTGGCAGCCAATGGAGATTTTAATTTAAAGCCACTTTGGCTTTACATGCAACGGTAACTTTTGCTTTTACTGTGCAACGCAAGCCAAAGCAGAGTGCTCACTCACACAGCTGCAATGCAATATACGGTCTATTTTAACCGATCTCAAAAGCCTCAATAACGAGTTTTCATTTTGAAAAGAGCTATTGGACTAAAAAAAAGTCTACATAAACAGAGCTAAATCACAAACAAAGTGATTGCACTTGGCTGAATAAAATCCGGGGCAACACCGTTGACAAAAACCGGCGGAGAACACGTACCAATCACAAGTTATTTGGAGTGATATTCCCCAGCCTGTACTTCTTAACTCAGCTTTGCACCCAAGCTACAGAGCAATATCTATTAGATTGTCATCAGCAAAGCCCGGAGAAGACAAGGAACCATTATTACTAGAAGCTTACAAGTCTGTTGGACGGTCAGTCATAAATAACGTCACACCTATTTGAAAGTAGGTGAAATCCCTGCAGGTTAGGGGCTCCAAAATTTACCCGTGTTAAGGCATGCCTGTTTTAAGAGGCGACAAAAAAATAATAGTTTCCGCGACAATCGAGTCTTTATACCGTAGCAACTCTGGTTTTTTTATCCGACTAAGGACTATTACTCGCACAATATTCCCCGCAAACTAATACGGTGAATACTTTACAGTTACAACAACAACAATCAAATGCAGGTGATGAAGTAAAAATACCACTGTTCTCAGACATGTGAAATTATGTCCCATCCGGACACTCTATGACATTCTTTGTAGCAAGAAATATTTGTTTCTAAGAGCTTTACGATAATCGGTGGAGATGCTCTGAAAGAGATAATTTTCTGCAGAAAGTTAATAAAAGTAGAACCGCCTCACCTCACTGCTGCAAACGACGTGCAATCTTCCCACATTTAACAAATCTAGAGGTCAACATCAGAGAGTAATTGACTTCACCGGGATACGTCAATACTATTCCAAAAATTCTTCCGTAATCCGTTTCCTGAAAATCTCGTTAGGTGACCTCAAAGACTCAGACTCAAAAAACAAGTGAAGATCGAATTATAAAGGCATTAATCAATAAAACTTAACCACACTTGGTAAGTATGCTACTTTTAACGAGCAATAAGGTCCCAGCAAAAATGACTGGCACAGAAGCAGAAACGGACCTAGCTTACTCATAGCAGACTTTCTGGTTTTGATCGATCTGTGTATTTAAGATCGCAAATCTGAGTACTTTTTCGAGAAAACTTGATAATTCAGATTCATCTTAAGCTCTACTCATCATTGCCGATTCGGAGGCATGGACGATAAGAACCTCTGTTGAGTCGGCGTTGGGAGTTTGCGAGAGGATAAGCCTTGATCCCCTGCGCATTGAGAACGTCGCATACCGTAGCCGATGAAGTGATGAACTGTATGAGAGTTCAGTGATTGAAGTGACTACGCTGACTAGTCCATCTTCCGTCTGGGCATCTACACTACTGCTTTGAAAGTACTCGATGCAGTACCCACAGCGTGGCAGCAGAGAAAGAGGAAGACCCTCACTCAACAGGTATGACCCGATAGAGATGACCCTGGCTGCATTCTTTATTTCCTATTGGCGACAAATAGCGACAATAAACATTGAATGACATGCTGTCTCTACGCCAGTAAAAGAGAAAATTCATTTTACTCGGAAATCCCCCGGAAGAACGAATACAGGTAAGTGTTGATCATTTTCCGAGAAAAGAGACCTTGGAAAAGATATTTATGTATATATCTTTATATAAGGGGAGAGTGAGAGAATGAGAGAGAGAGATAGAGTGAGAGAGTGAGAGAATGAGAGTGATAGAGAGAGAGAGAGAGAGAGTGAGAGAGAGAGTGAGAGAGTGAGAGAAAGAGAGAGAGAGAGAGATAGAGAGAGAGTGAGAGTGAGAGAGAGAGAGTGAGAGAGAGAGAGTGAGAGAGAGTGAGAGAGAGTGAGAGAGAGTGAGAGAGAGTGAGAGTGAGAGAAAGAGAGAGAGGGAGAGAGAGATAGTGAGAGAGTGAGAGAATGAGAGAGAGTGAGAGAAAGAGAGAGAGAGATAGAGAGAGAGAGAGTTAGGGAGAGAGTGTGTAAAAAGTGTGACATAACACTATACATATGGTACAGTCTCACCTAAAAGCCCAATACTTTGTCCTTTGCAAGCTCTCCACTGCAAGCGAGTCGAACAGAATGTCCGAAATCCCTAAGCTTATTAATTTCCATAACAAAAAGCCATAAAATATTCGTACTTTAAAATAAACATAAATTATCAGCCAACAATTTGTTAGGCTACCATTTACACATACATACATATTTACTCGCATTTATCGGACACTATTTGGGCATTAAGAGCATACAATGCATAAAAGGACGTTGAGTGCGAATATACATAAATACTATGCGTGTATGTGTGTGTGTAAATATGTATAGTTTGCCTAAATAACAGAACAACTGGTGTAATTTTCGAAGCTTAACTCAATTTGTAGGTATATATACATACATATATATACGTACATCTGTCTATTTGCGTTCATTCAAATGTTAGCTTAAACAATTTGGTAAAATTATACATTCGACAAGCTCAAATAGAGCAAATATATATACATATGTACACAAACATACAAACATACAAAATACTCCATCTACAGTATATAAATAATACATATGTATACCCGCTTTCAACCAACCGAAAGGGATTAATATTAAAGGATTCGTTTTACAAATGGGACATGAAGTAGTAAAATGATATAGTGAAAGCTTAAAATCACTTGACCGGCATTGGCGGCAGCAGAGGCTGCAGAGTGAAAGTGTTGCCAAATGTGATAATAAATTGTGTTAAGGTTCAATAGGAAATTTTTAAATATTTTTCCAAATGTATACATGGGGTATATTAATACGTGACAGCTGAAAGCTTTTGCAGCTTTCACTTTTTATTTTTAATTTAAAAAATTTTTTTTTTTTTAAAAACTTAGCTCACGAAGCTTTCAAAAGATTTTAAAGTATTTTTTTTTTTAATAACAAGTGTTTTTTCTTGCTCATACGAGTATTTTGATCAGTACTAATTGAAACTTTCAACTTGGAAAGCACGTTAATGTTCATATTGCATTTGGTTTCCCGAAGCTTTCACCCTTTAGAGAGCATTCACAAAATTTTAAAGTTCGAAAAGTGTATTAAGTATTATAAGATCTGAAAAGCTCAAATGTCAAACTTCAAATCATATTTCAAGTACTCGAAGCTATCATTATTTAGGAGCTTTCATGAAATTGTAATGTACAAAAAGTGTAATAAAATATTTTAAGCAAATTAAATGGGAAATATTAATTTGAAAAAAAAAACAGCTTTTAGTCTCTCGAAGCTTTCACTTTTTGCAAAGCTTTCACTTTTTATAAAAAAAGCTTTCACTTAATTTTGATGATTTAATACTCTATAGAGGAACTTTTTTTGGTAAATGACAGTATTACTTAATTCTCTAATGTGTAGAGCCTTTTCCGGATTTTTAATATAAATAGCAGATTTAATAACTATATACATATAGTACATATACTATACTACATAAAGTATGTTAGCGTAAATTTAGCTACCAGTCATTTCCTACCAGTCTTTAAGTCCCACTGAAAATGCTATAAAAAAAGAAAAAAATGCTTTTCCAGTTCTCACACAAAAGAGTGCTTAATTTTCCATAATTGTAACATAAATTTGCTTAAATGCTTGTATGAATACATTTTGAATTATTTGCTAAAACTTTTGATAAACTTTTACTAATAGCTGGCACTGTTATATATTTCGACGCTTGTAAGCTATATTCATGACAAATATATGTATGTATATATGTACATTGTATGACTTGATTAAGAGGCGAGTGCCAAATGTAATGACAAAATTCAATTATAATTTCGCAAGCTGCAATCAGACCCATTTAGTTTTGGCAAATAGGCGACAAATTAATTTTGAAATTTTCTTTTTTTAATTTCATAAATGATGAAAGGGTAGGTGAAATTCGAGAAAATTAAGTTCAAATGCAGAATAGATTTTGCAGTATAATATTAATTTTTTAAATCAATTAAATATTAGTAGTCTAAAGAATAATTGCTTGGAAATCTCTCGAAGTTTCATAAAATATATTCGAAAATACCGTTAAGTCTTTAACATTATGAAAATATTGATTTCAATAATTTAATTACCATAAGTTTAATACCACATTAGAAAACAATTAGGAACAATCTTTTGACGAAATTTTTTTTTGATGAGGTTGCCACCCGTTGAAATTTTTTATTTCGGAAAATTAAAAAAAAAAGTATAAATAACAGTTGGGAGTATAAAGTATAGTATATAGCTTTGAATATTTTTAAGTTAGAAAATATTTTTGAGAAGTGTTGCCACCTGCTAAATTAAAAAAAGATTCAATATGAAGGAAATAAAGTGGCATGTATATTAAAACAAAATCAATTTGACATCCATCGAATCAGAGAATATTTTGAGAAGTGTTGCCACCTAAATAATTTTATATATTATATAAAAACTTAATGGCATGAATGAAATGAAGCAATATCCGTACCAAAATAAAGTTAACTCAAGTAGCAACATGGTTAGGAGTATTAAAATAATAATACCAAATTAAAAATATTTCGAATTGCTTGGAAAATATTTTAATATATTAA